TATCACGGGCAGAGGGTATGGGGGTCTTAGCTTAACCGCCCGGACCAAGAGGAGAACACTAAAGAACTAAATCCTATGATGGCGGAACCAGGTCAAAGGGATACGTTGCTAGATAGAAGACTAGCCGCTACTGGTTTCAACACTGGGGCACCAGGAGGCAACTTGTATTCTCGTGTCCCTTACTTACTTCTACATTCGGGAGTCTGTGTGGTGTGGAAATGGACCGACTAACCCTTGCGGTGTAGAACACAGCTTTGCCTGAATTTTGTAAGAACATCGAGTTGGCGAGTCATCAACTCGAGGGAGCAGGACCATGGTCAGGTCCAGGTGACCTCAAATCCAGGCAATAGAGAAAAAATATATATTCTCTATTATAGATCCGGGACAACACCGGTATGAGGTCTAAGAAGAGACAATGTTAAATAGGTGGAGAAAATGGTTACAGATCCCCCAACCTCCACCTCAAGGATACTTGAGCTGTAGACCGTGGAAGGGTGTACACCTTCGTAGGAGGTAATGCCCACTCCTCGAAGGACAAAGGGTTGTTAGGTTAGGTTAGGTTTGATAGGATCAGGTTTGGTAGGTAGCTCTTCTAGGTTTGGTTAGGATGGCAAATACCCCCTACAACAGAAATCCCCATGTATGATGAGTTATAACTCGAGAAAGGTGGACACAATAGATATTTAAGGTCGCGGTGATTAACTTCCTTCCACTCATTCTCATTCTAACTCTACTGTTAAAGAGTTTCAGACATAAACTTATTTATATGAATAACAAGTATTTTCATTTACTTTGTTTTGGCATAGTTTTTATTGATTTCAAAAGTAAGGATTTTTATTGAACTGTTTTCGCTCTTGATAATTTTGTTTTAGTATATAGTTTAAAGACAATAAAAGGACGAACACCACTGTGTAACTAATAATACCAGTACATGTTATTGTTAAATTAACATAAACGCGTTATGCCCATTCTCTAATTAAATTTGTAAAACATGATGAAGGTTTTAGTACAGTTAATTAATTAATAACAACCATTAGGTACGCCATTAGCCTACTACATTAGGTAATTATATTGCACAATCCTAATGTAAAATATTGATTAGGACAATAAGAACGATATTTTTTCCTTTTCAAATACATATGCCGAAAAAATTAAATTAAATATATAGGGTGATTCAGATTTAAGGTCAGGAAGTTCAGAACTAATTAAAAAAAGTACTTGCAGTACTTGCAGTCCGTATTTCAATCTAATCCAACTTTATGAACTTAATCCGGGTTTAATCATTAAAATGAGCAATGAAAACATTATAGTGTATTCATTTTGAAAATAATTATTGATCTTGATAGAGGTTGTAGACAACCTAACCTAACGTATTTTCAATTAATTCATACCTAACGAATTCTGCTTCTGTGCATCGTCTGTCATTACTGCAGATCTCCACATACTTGTCTTTTACGTGTACAACACGTTAACCACAACATGTACTCAACATTGGGCAAACATGTACGTTGTTGTGGATAAGAGATGTATTAGATAATTGGTAGATCTCGATAAAATAAACATATTTCTTCTTTACCGTTTTTCAAATTAAAATATATTTTTAAAAAATTTTGAGAGCCACCGAATTATTTCTGTTTTTGCTTCCCTTTTAGTGCCGCAAAAAAAGTGATGCCAAATGCCCACTCGTAGGAAGTATCCGAATCATGGGAAATTTCGAGATCCAGATTGAAAAAGGAAATTTTAACCAAAAACATCATATTCATGGGAAATTCTAAATTCGTGTATTATTCGTTAAAAAATAGTTATCGTATACGCATTTCTCAGCAAAGTGAGTAAATTCAAACTAGTATTACTGCAAAACACAGTTTCTGGGTTTGAAATATCCCACTTCTAAAAATATTTGCACTTATTTAAGACTCACCTATATAAATATTTATGATTTTTATTTAGTTTTTTTTGAGATTATTTTATTTTGCTGGAAAAAATTAAAATTTATTTTATATATAAAATTATATGTATAGTGAATGTGATAGATTGTAATTTTTAAACCATTTGCTATTTTTCGATTATATGACACATTCAATAATATAAAAGACAGAAGCTGCAGCAAGAGTGTGAGTAATAAATTATTGTAAAGTTAGGTTAGGTAATTATTGCAGAAATTAGTATTTTGTGTATAAATATTGTGTATATTATTTAACAAGGCGATTCACAGCTCTATAAATAGTTATCAGATAAAGCGTTGGTGTAGTAAACATATTATGGTGCAGATTAAATTTATTCTGTACCTAATGGCATTTGAATGTACTTTAGAAGTTAGCATGAATGTAATTAGGCGCAGTTCAGTAATTTTGCCGAACTGGCGCACAGTGCTTCGAACATATGGCTCTAGAGGACAAAAATCCAAAACTTCTCTTTTATTGTAAGCAATTTATTCAAACTAGGTTTATTTGACACAAATGATGAGTACTCTCATTGTACTAAATGATGATGTTCTTAGTCCCACGTTTATGAAAAAAAAATCTTATAAATAATAATAATGTTGGAGCTGTGTTCCATCTAAGCAAATAATAAGTTATAGTATGAAAACGGTGTAAGTATTAAATAAATTCCTGTGATAAAAAAGAATTGAAATAACATTAGAACATGATTCCTACAATATAAGCCTAATATAAGATAAAAATGTTTTTCTTTAATGAAAAAGAAACATTAATGTTATATTTAATTAAAAAAAAAATTAAGATACTATAAATTTACTTTAGGACAACAAAATGCATAGATCGTAACTACTCTGATTCAGGAGAATCACTGCTGACAGAATCTTCTAAATTTATAGTATCTAAATCACAGGTAGATGAAGTATCCTCACATATAAGATATTTCTGTACATCATTTTCTAATATGTTACTTTTTCGCGTTGTTACTGTTCATTTTGTCGGTATGAGGGGTTCGGATGTTAATAGTTACCTCTTTAATAGACCATATGCATATATTATTTTTTCCTTTTCTTGGGTATGAGATTTTATAATAAACTGAAAGATGGACACTTTTTTTATTCGACGTTTCGCTCCAACATAGTGGACTTTTTCAGGCACAAGTGGTGTCTCATTTGACTGGAAGGTTCATCAATATCTAATAAGAACATATTTTTTGAAATACTAATAATTTTGAGTTCTTGTCCTTATGATCAAGCCAAGTATTAGCCAGATCGGCATTGCTTATCAATCTTACTCCATCTGAAAAGTATTATAAAATAAAGTTCGTCGCAAGCAGACGCAGGTGAACTATACAAAAATAAAAGTGTATGAATATGGCAACAAAAATATTTAATAAATACGATATGTTTTGATATGTTTTTTTAAATGCCTTTTGAAGTTTGAAAATGTAAAATTTTTATACCCATTTAAGAATCATCTTAAAAAATAAATAAAAACTAAACAATCACGAACTTGTTTAGAAATAAATTTAAAGTACATACCTTGTTTAACAATATCCATAGTGGCTTTCAATTAAGTACGTACCCGTTTAACTCCATAATATACAGAACTACTATGAATGTTATTCTTTTCACTGATGAGATAATGATCGCAAAATTTATTTTTAGTGAAAATATTTGCTAACAAAAACGCTGCTTATGAAAAATAATATACAGGGTGGTTGAACATTGCTATAAGTATAAAATTATATATTCAGATATTAGTAAATTTTAACTTATTTTTTGATTTTTGTCCATGGGACGAAGCACTGTGTGGCGGTTTGCACCTATTAGAGCAAGTCAGCTATTAAACATCGTATTTAATATTGTAGTACATTACAGTGTGGGGCGTTTGTTTTATTATTTAGTTATAGCAAGCAGATTTCAATATGATTTGTGTCTACACAATACACGTTCTATACTCTTCCCTACGAGTACTGGAAGATATCGACAGACGATGTCAAAAAATTGATGTTCTTAAAAAAATTGTAGAAATTGAAGGGGTGGCTTCAATAACCAGGCAGCTCCATTTTAAGAAATTTTGCTTGCTGCAAACATCTCCCAGGAGCTATCCTAGTTTTTGCTGCAAACTGAAAGCAAGTTAGCTCCAAAGAACGTTGTCATTTATGTACTGCTAAATGGAGTTATCTTATTGTTGCAGGGAACGATTGGACTATTTTTTAAAGGGCAGTTCAGTAAAAATCTTATTTTCGTAAAAAAAGTGGAGCTGCCTGGTTATTGCAGCCACCCCTTCAATTGTTTCTAGTTAAAATCTATCAAAAAAGTCCAAGACTTGTAAGAGTCTTGCTCTGATTGAAGATCAAGACCAAGGCTGGGTCCTGCAGTCCTGCAATCCTGCCTCAGAACCACGACTACTATTATTATAGACTGTAAGACCATGGGAAGTTTTGGTCTTCTATTTGCTCATCACTAAATGGTTATTTAATGGCTATATAGATGGTAACAATTTACAAGAAAAGAGTAACTTTCAATGGCAATTTTTTGATGAGGTCAATCTCTAGACGTAATTTACTAAAAATTGACATGAAACTTGTCAAAAATTAACATTTGTTATAAAAAGATTAAAAAAGAATTGAACGTAAGACGTACTAAATAAAAGAACAAAGAAGAGTACTGGCCAAGTTAATGACGTCTAGGGCTTGACGTCCCTAAAATTATCATCGATTGTTACTCCCCAGCGGTCTTTGACGCCATTTTTTTTTCGATCGTATGTTACCATCTTTTGGTAGCCTTCTCTTATGACCCGCTCAGACGACTCGTATATTTGGCAAACATTTATTATTCGTATACAGGGTCCGGCAATAGTCCTTTGGGCATCTATACAACATTTCTAAGTTATTTATTATAGGAGTTACGACGCACTATCGCCGAACCCTCTAAGTCAATAAAAAATGTTTGGTAAGTAAGCGAGTCTTCAAAAGCCGCCTTTATGCGCACTCGACTCAGTGCTATAACAGATTATAATCTTCTTACAATATGTTTAATAGGTAATTTTCTTTTTCAGATTCGTTTATACTTGTACCACTCAACCTTCGTCTCTACCCCGACCCAAGCAACGATGGTATAGGCGGCGTGGGCTGCCCCTCGCCCCGCCGCTCCCGGTCGCTTCCATTACGTCATGGGCGCCCGTTCCGATGACGTCTACCGGCCCCCAAGGCTCGCCGAATGGCTGCACCGGTTACCTCACGTCAACGCCAGCTTCAAGGAGGTGGACAGTACCTTCGATCCGAGCTCATCCGTTTATCTAGAGGTGGGTACCTACTTTAGACAATTCATACAAGATTATTTTTCTGTGAAATATAAAACCTCTTCTACACCAAGTTCCGCCAATGATCCTCCACCCAGACAATGCAACTTACACAGCTCGAAAAACAATTGAGTTATAAAAGCAAGAAAACATAGAATTCTTGGACCCTACTCCATATAGTACCAACCTAACTCCTAACAACTTTTTTACTTTTCCAAAAATTAAGAATTGACTGCGTGGTCAAAGGTTCCAATCCAGAAAATGGAGTCAACGCCTTCAAAAACATAAATTTGAAGGTACCAACAAGCGAGTGGAATAACTGCTTTCAGAATTGGAGAATATTTAGAAAAACAAGAGCGTTTAAAAGTTATCTACTGCTTTTTTCTACCTCTATATACTAAATATAAAAGACAAATCTCAGTAATAGAGTCCTATATTGAATTTATTAAAGATACAAATCTTATACAAAATATGTATATTAAGACTTTGTCATGATTTTAATGAATTTTGAAGATCTTTAGTACCCCATGCGCTTCCTTAAAAGTTTGGCATCACTTCCTGAATACTAATCATGTTCTTAGCGGTATTATATTAATAAGAAGTGTGTTGAATTGACTGAAGAGGGCATTCACTCATCCATAATTTTACTTTTATTGTATTTAGCAGTACATTTACTGTTTAAATTCAATCATTTTAAGTGATACTTTCTTCTGTTTGGATATTTACTCACTCAATTCTTATGCTACTTCCATTACCGTTCTTCCATTTGTACGCAAAGTTTTAAAATACCAATAACCATTGTTGTATTAGATATACAATAGAAAATTTATATGAGATAACAAGTTATACCGTATCCAACACGCTGTATTATTAAAGGTGTGTTTTCAGAATAATTGCCTAGTAAATGTCTACCTTTATCATAAAAAGGACATTATTTGAATTTATAGGGTATATTTAGTGTAATAAATTATTTCCTCATGTTTTGGTCCATAAATATCCCTTAGAATATTTTGGTGTGTATTTTCTGCTTTATATTTCGTAAGGAATTTGAATATTTTGTATAAATCTTATTAATATGTATTACAGAGTTTTACAGTAAGTATTTTGTTTTCATATTGACTCTTTTGAAATCAAAATCTTAAAATACTTAACATTTTCGTTTAATATAAATGTTAAGAATAATTAATGAATATTTTTTTCTTACGCTTGACGTAAAAAGCTGATTTTTGGAAAACAGATTGACTTTACGGTGTAGAGATTCGATAAGAAGGGATTTTTCGAAACTCGAATTCTAAGGGGGTGAAACTAAGGGTGAAACTATCCCTCAAACATTAAAATATTTTTTTATATAAAAACCGGTGAGCTTTTCGGAAAAACTCTTAAACACGTATATTTTATTTTGTTGTTTTACATATTTTAAGGTTTTTTATAAATTTATACAGGGTGTTTCATAAAATATGACCATTGAGTAATCACGATTCTGCTTAAACTGCTTGACGTTTAAAGCTGATTTTTGATTGACTGTGGGGTGTAGAGGTTTGATAAGGAGGGGTTTCTCGAATCTCAAATTCCAAGAGGGTGAAAACGCCCCTCTAATATTACAATATTTGTTATTTAAAAAACAGTTAGTCTTTCGGGAAAACGCTTTCAAAAAAACATATTTTGAAATTTTTTAAAAAATCATACAGGGTGTTCCAAAAAGTTGTGTAATTTCTTAACCACGATTCTGCTTAAACTGCTTAACGTATAAAGCTTATTTGTGGCAAACGGATTTTTTGAAAGTCAAATTCCAACGAGATGAAACTACCCCTCAAATATTACCAAGTTATATAATAATATCGCCATATTATTTTTTCTGATGCTGACATAAATGTGAGAAAATTTTATCCAGTTTGTATGTTAATGGAAATTCTTGCTTTGCTTTATCATCACCATTACAAATGATTAATTCGACGCGAACGAAGTCGCTGGTACCCGCTAGTACAATGATATTTATAAAAAAAATATGTCGAACAACAGAAAATTTATCTTCTCTATCATGTCATAAACACGCGTCCAGTGTTAAAATTTAAGTGTATTGGTGTATTGTGGTGAATTAGTGTTTTATTTTACCGATATTACTTTAGTTGTGTTTGACAATGACGAATGATATAAAAGTTAACAAACTTTAACAGGCATTATCATTCCACTAATTGTAAGATTTATTTCATTTTTAAAGGTATTTTAATATTTTCGACGGTACATGTTTCCGTTCTGCACGTTTTTTTATCTTATCGCGACAGTTGGCCAAGTCAAAAGGGCTTCTAATTAATTTTATACGCTTTATTTTCTGCGGATACGACCCCGTCAAGAGCATGAACCGCGAACGACGACCCGTTTTATCACTTTGGTGGGGTCTAAACGTTTTCCTCTTCTTTTTGTTTTCAGAGTTTGGGGATTTTAGCCTCGATACCGGGCGCATGGCTTATCTTCACCCTGTTTATCTTGCTGCTTTATCTGCTGACGAGATGCTGCGACCGGAAACCGAGACACGCCAAATCAATTTCGGCCCTTAAGGTCACGCTGGCGATTACGTCGGTGCTGTGCTGCGCGGCCGTAAGTATATCCACAAGAAGAGATATAAACTAACATAGAATAAATTAGAGTGTCTTATAAGTAGATAAGTTAAATAAATTCCTTTCCTGTATATCGGTCTATAAATCAAAGATTTTTTTTTGGTTTTCTTCGCTATTGATGAACAATGGTAAAAGTGTCAAAAATGTATACTCATCTCCTTATGCTTACGGCACATCGACAGTCGGCGATTTCCGAGCACTTGGACTTTTCCTTTATTTTAATTATACAGGGTGCTACAAATTCGAGGTATGAGCATTGGTATCTCAGTAACTGTAACAGATAAGAACATGGTTAAATTGGGGCAAAATTGCGCTTTAGGATGTTCACCAAGTTGCAATCAAAAAAGTTTTAAAAGTTTCAAGGATTGCTAGTTCTTTGGAAAAACGGATTTTATTGAAAATCAATTTTATTTTTTCCTGTCGTTGCTTTTTAGAGAATCAAAAAATTAACGGCACATTCTCATAGCCACTTTATTAAGGCTATCTGATGGTATTTTTTGATTTTCAAATTAGCTGATAATTTGTGAGATACAGAGACCAATTTAATTTTGTTAAATACGGCCTTCATTTTAAATGCAGGCTCTGCCCGGCTCTGTTTGTTTTAAATATTATAATCTATTCATAATATTTAATCTATTCATCGTTACAATATTGATAAGCTTTCAAACTTAACAATGACGTGGGGTAAAACAATGAATGCGGAAAATCAAATGCAATAAGATAATAAAAAATAATGTTAATATAATATAATATAAACAATCAAATCATTTCCCCGGAAGACGGATTGGAAATGGTAGAGCGGTATAATGGTAAAGCGAGGTTCCTGGATCTGTCGCCAAGCATTACTTGACGTCATTTAAAGTACGTATACATTTCAATATTTACAGTAAAAACTACAAAATGCATTCGGAAGTATAAGAAGATCTGTTCAAAGAGCTATAAGATTGAACGAAAAATAAATTTGTGCATTATGGAGGGTGGTAACCCTTTCGAACATGTAGAGCATTAGAACCTAGTTTGTAGAAGTTGATTTATTTATAATAACTACGATTAATATTATGCATATTATTAGATCGTACACTGAGAGAGATTTCAAATTCACAATAAATAATGTTAAAAATAATATCTTTAAATTGCTGACCTGGATATTATTTATTTGAATCTTTCAATTAGCTTTGATCCTTATTAATTAACGTTGATCAATATAGTTGCGATGAATATAATGATATGAAATAAATTATAAAACCAGAGTCAGACTTGAAATTATTTTAAATAATAATTAAATAGTTTTGTTATTGTTAAGGTACCCAAAACAAAAAAAAGTATCAAGTGTGGCATATCATTGTACTCAGGAGACCGAGTTCTTTCAAAACCTGAAATAAAATTGCAGGTCCGTATATTAAAAAGTTAAGGCGGCCTCTGTATCTCACAAATTATCAGCTAATTTGAAAATCTAAAAATACTATCAGATAACCCTAATAAAGTGGCTATGAGAATGTGCAATTATTAGTTTTTTGATTTTCTAAAAAGTAACAACGGGAAAAAATAAAATTGATTTTCAAAAAAATCTGTTTTTTTTTTCAAGAAACAGCAATCCTTGAAATTTTTAAAACTTTTTTGATGGTATCTTGGTGAACATCACAAGGAGGCATCTTTGTCCCAATTTAACCGTCTTCGTATCCCGAGATACCAATACTCGTACCTCGAATTTGTAACACCATGTATATTATATTTATTTTGATTTAACTTTTTTCAGGTTGGTTTGGGTCTATACGGTAACGACGATCTGCACAACGGAGTGATCCAGACCTTGAACCAGGCTCGCACGATCGACGGTCTCGTTGCTAAAATTCGCAACCACACCGAAGCAATTGAACGACAGCTGCGTATCCAGGCCGCAGCTGATTTCACCGCGATCAGATCCATTTTTGATGACTCCATTGTCAGTAATATGACTGTTTTTAAAGCTGCGGAACTGCATTTGAAGAAGCTCGTCGCCAATAATACTCTGGCAGCAAATGCTGCAGCTGAAATCAGGTAGATATCAGTTTTTACAAGAATGATGGAATATAAGAAATGTTGAAAACGTTTGTTTGATTAGTTTCGAACAAACACAGAGTACAATTTACTTGTAGGTTATTGTGGATTTGATACAAAATATCTTTTAAAAACACTAATAGGGAATCCGTTTTACCCGGGGGTTACTTTGTTTGAAAATATGTGAAAGTAAGGTACACGTATTGTTTTTAAAAATATGTTTTATATCGGTTTTAAAACGTTCTTCGACGTCTTCCGATGCCCAGTCGCCATTGCTCCCTATCTAGCCAGAGGTCGTCTTCGAGCTCTCGTTCTTTTAGCTCATTGTCTATTCCTTCTCTGCAGCTCTTGCGTAGTCTACCTCTTTTTCGTCGTCTCGCTTGAGGATTAGTTTTGGAACCTCCTCTGACATTCTTTGTACGTGGCCATATCATATTAATTGTTTCGTTCTTATGTCATCAGCTATTGTTAGATTTACTCCTATAATTTCTCGAATTTTGTTGTTCCGTACATCTTTCTCTTCTGGATATACCTGTGGCTCGTCTCTAGAAATCCATTTCTGCCGCTTCCAGGGTGCACACGGCAGTATCTTTTAGCTGTCACAGCAAAGAATGCTTTTAACCATTGTCGTTACAATACAAATATTTGACGTTTGTTGGATTTAGAGATGTTACTATCCCACAAGACGCCATTTAACATAGAGATTGCCTTTCTTCCCTGAGCGTTCCTGTCCAGAGTGTCATCCCTTGGTATTTTGACTCCCAAGTATTTATAATGTTTGCAGCAGTTAATATTTTGAATGTTTTCAAGTGGGAGATTTTCTTGGAGTCCGCCAATGCACATATATTCAGTCTTATCTAAATTCACTTCCAATCCCCATTTGCTGTATTCTTCGATTAGCTTTCTGGTCATATATTCGAGATCGGCTGAGTCTTGCGCCAGTACTACTTGGTAGTCTGCATAACTTAATGTATAGATGGCGCTGCCGTTTAGCGGGATACCCATATGGCTACATTTTCATTTCCACTGTAGCAGCGTCTTTTCTAAAAATATTTTGAAGAGTGTTGGTGATAGACAGCAACCATGTTTCAATCTTTTATTTGGCATAAACCCACTGGAATTTTAATTTTTATATGGGAGTTTTTTTAACGGCTTTAATTATTGTAGCATTGATGTTTGTTGTCTCCAGTACCTCCCACAGTTTAATAAGCGGAACACTATCGTACGCTTTTTTTAGGTCAACGAATAATAGATGGACTTCTTCCTTATTAACAGCTGACATTTTTTCCAGGACTTGTGTGACACAAAAGAGGTGGTCGACAGTTGGTCTTCCTGCCCGAATTCCAGCTTGTTCTTCAGCTTCGTAGTCAGCGAATTAGGGTTCTATTCTGGCCTTAAATATCTTTCCATATAGCCTGCAACTGTAATTCCCCTGTAGTTTCCGCTTCCACTCTTCTTTACTGCCTTTTTTATGTATTGGGGTAAGATACGATTCTTTCCATTCTTCTGGTATCTTTCCGGTATTGATACAAGTTTGGAATGGTTCTGCTAGGTGTACGTATAATTTGTGTGTTTCAAATTTTATTAATTCTGCTGGGATATTACCAGGGCCAGGGGCTTTTCTGATTTTTAAACCATTGCGTTGCATGCCCATCCTTTACTTCTATTATAGATATATCTTTCTATCAAAGGCAGTCCATCCGTGATTACTAGCTCGATCAGATCATCTGCTATGTTAGATTGTAGATTTTATGGGAGGGGGTAAGTTGATCACCCTGATCTTATAGATCTATCGTGTTCCCTTTTCTTGAGTTATAACTCAAGAAAAGTATCTCACACTGTTTTGCAGAGGTTTTGAGAGGGTAATCCTCCATTTCTGATATTAGTCGTACTACAGTTTATGGCACGAATGGTTGTCGGCGTACACAGTAATGTGGTGTACTGGTGTTTCCAACAGAATCTGCATTCGCCGTTATTTCTTAGCTTAAATCTACTGAGGTGCTCATTGAGGAGACATTGTCCTGTTAAAATCCCCATGACAATCCGAAGAGTGTTCTTAGTTAAATTAGGGAAAACAATATTATCAATTATTATCTAGGATATGCATTTAAAAACCACACTTTTGATGTATGTCTATTCATTAGTGTTAAAAATGAATGCTATATTATTATGTAAATTCCAACGTAAAATTTCATTAAATGGAATTTTGCTATTTCACCTTACTTACATTCCTAATATTCTTTGTACAGCTATATTGGAGACTCAAAATATTTTAATGTAGATAACACTATATTAAAGCACAGGCATTCAAGTCCTATACTTTATAATAATCTTTTCTATCATACTCAGCTTCGCAAGATATATACCCTGCTGGTCATGCAATTTATGTGGTCTGGATTTTAATGAGTGTGACAGAGAATAATATAAATGACCGGTTGACAGACAGAGAGACAAAATCAAAAGCGGCATACAGTGTTGCCGATTTTTTACGTTTGTAAGAAAATGTGTAGAAAAATATAAGCTGTTTTAAAAAAAAATGTATACTACTGAAATGATGATAATATATCTAAACTAAATATAATATATTACAGCTGTAGTAAAATGAGTAACTAATATTGAAAAATAAACTTCCAACCCTAAATGCAAAATTTTTCGTAAACGCCTACTTGTGCGGTTTGAAATTATATTGCAAAATCTGGCAATACCGCATAGAAGAAATGTATCGACCACATTTTTATCTCTTTTTAATACATTTGATTTTCCACTAAGCTGTCTACATCACTGTCTTACACGTTAAAATTCAGACCGCCCAGTTTCGATGACCAAATCGGTATACTTTTACATTTTACTACACATATATTACGTTACTTAAATAATACATATAACATTTAATCCACTAAAAGATGCAATCTCAAATATATATATATATATATATATATATATATATATATATATGTATATATATATATATATATGCTCTCTCTTGCAAAATTTTTCGTAAACGCCTACTTGTGCGGTTTGAAATTATATTGCAAAAAATCTGGCAATACCGCATAGAAGAAATGTATCGACCACATTTTTTATCTCTTTTAATACATTTGATTTTCCACTAAGCTGTCTACATCACTGTCTTACACGTTAAAATTCAGACCGCCCAGTTTCGATGACCAAATCGGTATACTTTTACATTTTACTACACATATATTACGTTACTTAAATAATACATATAACATTTAATCCACTAAAGATGCAATCTCAATATATATATATATATATATATATATATATATATATATATATATATATATATATATATATATATATATATATATATATATATATATATATATATATATATATATATATATATATATATATATATATATATATATATATATATATATATATATATATATAGATTTATTAAACCGCTTATACGAGCCCAAAAACTACGTTGCTTCATTGGGCTCAGACCCGATTCGACATTTCAGGCCCGGGGTCGGTCGGGTCTGAGTACGATTTCAGTGGTTATCGTCTAGAACGGTTTCCCCACTTCCCCTGACCAAATTTCAGCTGGGCCTGAAAAAATGGTTTTTTTACGTTTTTTATATACGATTGGGGGTACACCGGTATTGTCACGGGCGGCGCCACCTTCGACATTAGTATAAGTGTATAAGCCGATTTACGTTGAATCGATGTATTCAGACCCAAGAGCCGGCAACACGGTAAAGCAAACTATTAAAGGGAAACGAAGATATAGCCGTGTTATATTTGGTAGAAAACAAAATGCTCATACTCTAATTAGAATATTAAGAAATTCAGACGAAAAAAATGAAAATAAGTATTCTTTTAAAATTATTCCACCAAGTTTCATTTAAAAATATCAATAATTTACGGTCTAATCTTTTTTTTGAATTGCTGTCATCACCGGATTTGTAGAAGTAACTAAACTTTTATTGTCGAAACCGGTCGTTCGGCTAATAAATATTAGAAACAAAATTATTTCGTTCGGCTAGTCAAAAATTGTACGAGTACCTAAAAATTTATTTCGATGCTATGATTTCGTTGTAGAAGTACCTAATTTTTTTTTCATCTAAATCGATCAGCGATCGTCGCGTCGTGTCAAAGAATTGTAGGAGTAACTACAAATTTATTTCGATGCTGTGATTTCGCTGTAGAAGTAGGTACCTAAAATTTTTTCGTCTAAAACGATCGTCGTGTCAAAAAATTGTACGAGTACCTAGAAATTTATTTCGATACTATGACTTCGGTGTAGAAGTATTTAAAAACTATTTTCATTTAAATCGATCGTCGTATACCGGGTGCGTCTCAAAGGCTCACCCCTACAACTTTTTTTATTTTGTCAGATAAAAAAACGAGTTTTGGTATGTTAGTATATAACATAAATTAGGATTAATTGGACGTATTCAATTGTTTTTGGTCACTTCCTGTTTCACCGGAAATGATTACAACTTTTGATTTTTAAATGGCACCCGCGGTATATTTTTACATTATTCGATAGAAAATCACACTGAATAGAACGGCATATCATAAATATGTCAATTGTTGACATTTTCACATATGATTTATTTGTAACATGCGGTTCATAATGACAATTTGACTCGAGTACCAAATTGTGGTACTAAATTATTCGTAGAAAAATGCTTTTTCCAAATATGCTAACGAGCCACCTTTGTTCCGTTTGAAAAAATTGAGATATGATTGAAAATTCGATTTTGATATCTTATAACGGGCCCGGACAAGACACGAAAATCATTAGACTATCAAATCTATTTTTCCAAGGCTCCTTGATTAAAAAATTAGTGTTTTTAACACATCCATGGCACTCTGTAATAGAAATTTAAAATACTATTTTTTTAAGCGAAAATGTCAATAGTTGACATATGATATGTTATTCTATTCAGAGTGTCATGTTCTATCGAATAATGTAAAAACATACCGGGGGTGTCATTTAATAATCAAAAGGTGTAGTCATTTCC